CCCACCCCACCCACCCACAGGGTCCTGCTGGAGGGTTACCCACCACCACCCACCTGGGAAGCATCTGTCACCCAGGGCAGCAGGTGAGCAAGCTGCTGGCACCTCGTCCTGCCTTGGCAGTAGCTGTTCCCCCAAATGATCCCCATCCCTTTAGCCACAAGCCTGCACCAATGCAACATCCATCTCTGCACCCCATGCACTGACGCTGGGGGCTTTCTGGCTCTAACACCAGAGTTCAGGGCAGGGCAGTGGCCGTGGGTTACACCACTCCATGACACAACTGCTATCAATCCCTGGCATGCAGACCTGCTGCAAAGGTCAGACCGCACCCAGAGCCCCGCACAGGGTGAGAGCAGCACAGCTGGGGCAGGGCAGGTGAGGAGAGCCAGGGTGACACTGACCGGGGGGGAGCACGGCAGAGGCTACACCACCAGACTGACCTACATCCCACTTCTCCTCCCTTCTGCCTGCCAACCAAAAACAAGGTCGCTGCTCCAGCAGTCACGCTGTTCGGAAGCGGCTGGGAGAGGCTGGTTACTCATTACTCAAGAACAAACCACCCGACTTCCTCCTGCCAGCGAAGAGCGAGCGCTTCCTTGCACAAGATGTGGCCTGAGCTGCTGAAAGAGGCGAAGGGGCAGAGCTGGGAGCAGCAAGGAGCAACTGGGCGACGGGCAGCCCTGAGCAGCCACGTCACCACGGGGCTGGGCAGCTCCTGCTCCCTGTGGGGAAGATGATCCCGGCGTGGTGCAGCCACAGCCGTAAATCTGATGTCCTGCCCGCCAGACACAGGGAGCGAGGGGATAAATGAGAGGCAGTGTGCCCTCGAGCAGCTCTGCGGAGGCTTTTTTAGGACTCCCTGATTGTGAAGAATTCATGCAGGCTGCTTATTGGACTGGAAGCTCTCGTAAGAGGTTTCACCACTAGATAAACACATCTATCTATAAGGAGAGGGCATCTCTCCCACGGCCCAGCACAGCAAGGACAGGGCATCCTGCTCCAGCATTGACACTGTATCACTGCCTGCCCCCCAGCATCAGCATCAGGACAAACAGCTCCAAAGGGAAGCTGTAGCAATAAGGATCCACAGACCTCCCAGAATTTGGGAGCTGCACCAGCAGCTGGAGCCACTGAGTGGAAATGATGGGCTTAGGTTACAGGAAAAGGGTGGTTCTGGCTACAGCTCAGCTCTGAGCTTCAACAGGAGAATTGTTCAGCACAAGGAGCTCTTCTTCCTGAAAAAAAGTTCCTTTCTAAGTTTACAGATTTCAGAAGTTTTAGGGATGAAAACAGAGCTGACATCATACACTCTCCCCAGTTACAAGGCTGGGTATCAACAACTGGGAGGAGATCCTGCCTTGGGAGCTCAGCACGGACTGCAGAGCAGAGCAGCTCCCAGCAGCACCCAATGCACAGCACAGGGCACTTCCTACCGGCACGGCTCGCTCCTCCCCAGGCCCTGCTCTGAGCTCAGCACACCACAACCCCACAGCTGCCAAAGTCCGGATCTGCCCCACCTCTCATCCACGCTGATGCACGAAGGCAGAGGGCTCCACTCTCCCCCCCCAGAGGAGCCTCCCTACAACACAGCTTGGAGTAGGAAGATGAAGCAGAGAAGGAAAGCTGCAGCAGGGCCCGGAAGCCAACATCAGCCCAAATTCCCCTGTGCCACCCACAGCAGTGCTAACCCTGCCCTCAGTGCCCCACACACGTGGGTCTGCCCCAGGAGGTGGGACCCAGTGCCTATCAGCACAGCTGGGGCTGCCCCACATCCCTCTGAAAGGACACGATGTGCCACCTGGCAGCTCTCTGGGCACAGCCATAGCTACTTCGTGGCCTTCGTTGTTTGGGCCCCAGCATCCTACAGCCCCACTGAGGTTCCATCTCCGATGGATGGAGGGGAGGGAGGAGCCCCCAGCCTAGGTTAAGGACGCTGCGGTCTTCCAGCTCACCTCCAGCCTGAAACAGTTCCCATTTCAGGCAGCAGCCTTCCGTAGCATCCCCCAGACCCCCTTCATCTACAGGGGAACCACAGCTCCGTGCCACCCCCACCCACTGCGGGGACCCCAATGCCCCCCACCCACCTCCCCACCCACCTCATGTTCTTGACGGTGCGGCCGCCGTTGACGAGGAGGCAGACGGGAGCGGTGAGCCCGGAGCAAACGATGCACAACACGTAATAAAAACCGATGCGCAACGCGAAGTTCACAGCCGGGCTGAGCTCCATCAGGAGGTGCAGCAGCAGCAGCACCGCCGCACCCCATAGCAGCCAACCCAGCTCCATGCCGCGTCCCCGGGACCCTCCGAGCCCAACCCTACAGCCACCCTATTTCCCCCCACCGCCGGTTCGGAACGGCGTGCGCTGCCCCCGCCTTATGTGGGCGGTGCGCCCGGCTCAGTTTCAGCCCCCCCGCCCCGACTTCGGCCGCACCGCCCTCCGTGGGGCGGGGAGAGAGCGAGGAGGGGGGGGTGTTCAGGGCTCCGAGCTCTGTGACGGGGCCTGGAGCGGGTGGGGGACCCGTGGGTGGGGGTTGGGGTGCAGTTGTGGTGTTGTGTGGGGCGGTTTTGGGTCCCCCTCTTGATGTGACGCCGGGTTTTTGTATCGTTTGTGGCATGGTTTGAGGTGCCCATCGGGGTCATAGGGTCCTTCCTTATGTGATATTGGGTTTCTTCGTGGTGCTATGGGGAAGGCTGTCCTGGCACGATATGGGGCCTTTGGGGTCCCTCGTGGTGCTGTAAGGGGTGTTTTTGGGTCCCCTCACTGTGTGATGTAGGGTTTTTGTATCCCGCGTTGGGATGGGATCCTCCCACACCTCCAGTGCATCCCATGGCATTGGTGTGGGATCTTTGGGTCCCTTCTGGTGTGATGTGGGGTCTGTGGGTTTTCTCATGGTGCTGTGGGTGGTCTTTGGGTCGGTCTTGGCATGCTGTAGGGTCTTTGGGTTTCTTCATGGTGCCACAGGTGGATCCTGTGGTCCCTCTTGGCACAACATGAGGTCTTTAGGTTTCTTTGTGCTTCCATGTTGGGACTTGGGGTCTCCATGTGATAATATGATGGTCTTTGTGGGGAGGCCAGGGTGGGTCACTGGTTCCCCATAGGCACCAACGGGCAGGGCAGGGGGAAGTTCCCCCACCCTCACTGGTGTGAGCTCAGGATGAGGCCTAACAGCTTTGTGGGCACAGAGCTGAGATGGAAGGCAGTCTGCTGGATCCACCACAAACCATCCCACCGCCTTCAGCAGGTTTCACAACAGTGCAGTAAAATCCCCATCCCGTGGCTGTTTGTGACTCCATCAGGGTGAGCCACAGCCCCAGCAGTGCATGGGGTTTGCAGCCCTGGCATCAGCACAGCTGACCTTACAGCTCCTGGGGAAGTGGAGGAAAAGCCATCGCTCCTTCCCAGATAACTGCTGTTCCTTTGGTTGTCAGAGATGTCAGAGATGGCAGAGATGGCAAACCCACTGACAGCCCGGGGCAACCAACCCACTGGTAGCCTGGGGGCAGCTCAGCAGTTCTAGCATCTGACCCACAGACAATCCCTTTCTCTCTGTGGCAGAGCGGAGCCAGCACTCCCCCCAGCTGCCAGGCAATGACATCTCAGAGCTGGTCTCATGATTCCTGCTCATGCCACAAAGAGCCCTCATTGTATCAGCATCTGAGGTTTATCCCTCAGGCCCATGATGGGGAGGAGCGACTCCCATCCAGCTGAGCTCTGAGCCTACAGCACATCTGTGCTATCCTTGTGATTTTCTCTCTCTCTTTCTTTTTTTTTTTTTAACAGGGAGAGAAAGTCCCTGGTGAGGCTGTCACTGGGGTGTGTGTGAGCCATACACTGCCACGGAGCATCTCCCATGTGTGCAAGGGGAAGAGGGCACACGGATGCTGCACAGGCTTCTGCTGCCTGTGGTCCCACCATGCTGTGTTCCTGGGCTGTACCACGTCAGTGAGCTCATGGCAGCAGAGTAAACAGCTGGGGAGGAACTGGGATGTTGACTCGGTGTGGCTGCACTGCAGTTGTCTGCAGGTCTACATAGCAACAGGGCTGCACAAAACCTTGGAGCCCTAAGAACTGCTCAGCTGCGCTGGGGTTGGGAATAGGGATGGGGTTGGGGGATGAGGTGGGAGTTGGGGATGCACGACCCACTGTGATCTCTTAGAAAAGAAAGTGTAACGAGGAGAGAGTTTGTCTTTAGAAACGAGTGGTCAAAAAGAAAAAAATATTGCAAAAAGACATTAGATAACCAGGGAAGGAAAGCTCTGCTTGTGCAACCTTTACCCAGCGACAGATAATGATTGGGAAAGTAACTTCTCTCTCTGCTCAGATGCTAACTGCAGCCAGATGTGGTTTTATGGTCCCTTCGGTCAGGGGACATGAGCACTCAGCATATCTCATACCTGCAGGTCTGAGAGCACAGCAGGGCCAAGGCCAGGCCGAGGGGAGCAGCAAGCTGCTGCTGTTGGCCATTTGCTCCCCAGAGCTGCCAGCTGTGCCTGCCTGTCCCACTTGTAGCATCTGCGTCCTGCAGACCGGTGCCATTCCAGCCTGGTTGGTCCTGACACAGCTAAAACCATGTATGAGATGAACAACCCACCAGTAGCCCCACTGAGCTCACACGGCTGGAAATCGAGGAAAGCAGAGCCAATGCACCACCATTTTCCACCTTATTGCCAAGGTCTGCAGCCCACCTGACCCCCAGCACTGCTGTTCTGCTGCTGGCAGATTGTGCAGGGAGCAGAGACAGCAAAAACACAGTGCTGTGAGATCTGCCTGCTGCATTTCAGAGGTTGGAATTCTCCCTGCACCTGATGTTCTGCAAAGCACTGCACCATGTGCAGCAGGCGAGGTGCTGAGCAAAATGTGAACAGGCCATCCCTCTGTGAGAGCAGGGCTGCAGCCACAGCAGCTGCTCACAGCCAGCACTCCTCAGCGTGGCTGCACCCCTGGGGCAGCTCTGTGCTCCCTCTGCTGCCTCTCCCTTTGAGCCCTTTGCTGGGGATGTGCAGCTGTAATTACAGCGCAGGGGAAGATCCTATTTCCCCAGAGAGCCGCGCTAATTACTGCTGTGCATTGGCCCAGGAGAGCTGGAGCAGCGTGCTGCTGGGGCTGGGGGAGCGAGGTGAGATGCAGATGGAGAGGGAAGCTGCTCTCTGTTGGGATCCTCTCCCCTCCTCCAGAACAGCTTTCCCCTTTTTCTGCAGCATCGCTTTGTGCGGTCGCTGTTGGCTGAGGGCCTTTGGGCTGAGCCCATGGATGCTCTCACCCAGCTCTGAGCCCTGGAGCCATTCCCCAAAGCACACACAGCTCCACCACAGCCCTGGGATGATGGGGTACATGGGGTCGGGTGCCCCAACTCCTCACACAGCCTAGCAGAGCTGAAGTCCATCACTGCTGATCTCCCATCCTGGCAGCCCTGGGTAAAACCAGTCCAACAAAGCCCACAGTAAATCCACACAGGGAACGTGTCTGCGTGAAGATAACAGTTTGCCTCTCTGCGTTTCCCCTCTTATTGATTAACACCTCTTAATGATTCTGGATAAAAAATCTCTCATAGTCACCGCCTGACACAGAAGATCAATGGAAAGGCATTTAGTGAGATACAGAGGCAAACAGCCCCACGGTTCCCTGCAGGAGCCGTCCCTGAGAGCAGCACCATTGCTGCCCAATCGATAGTTCACTGTGACCTCTCCCTATTGCTTGCTTTTTTCCCCCTTGAGCTGGCGGGGCAGCAAACCTGCTCTTGGCTTTATCAAGGACTAGATTATAACTATCTCAATTGATCTGATATGTAAAGGACATGGGGCCTCTCCAGCCAGCTGTCTGCACTGGAAGAGCTCCCGGGGCTGCACAGGCCCTCATTAACCCCTGGATGCATAAAACCCACACCAATTAGCCCCAGTGAGCCCAATCAGCTGGGAGTGCTGTGCACGGTGTGGGTGAGTGGCCCCAAAGCTTTGTGGTGGGCACAGGAAGGAGCATTGGAGCCTGGAACCCTCACCCATGTGCTTGGGACAAGGACAGGGGTGGGGACCATGGGAAAGTCCCACTGCCCCCACTCATGAGATACAGCCACACCTGCAGCGTTGCTATCACTCGTTTGATTGGATTAATTAATCATTTGGTTATAACTGCTCATTAAGCATTCCAGCAATCAATACTAATCACTTAATTACTCGGCATATTACAGCTGGGAAAGGTCTGCTCGTTCCTAATTAGATTCTTTGGACAATCCACCCCCGGCCATAGCAGAGCCCCATAGCAGAGGCACTCGGAGCCGTTCAGCAATGACCCACATTTGGCATCCCTCGCCCTGCGCCCATCCTGGCAGCCCCCCACCTGCCGTTAATTGCCGGCACGCGTTGCCCGTTCATCTCCAGGCCGCGGTGCCGTCGGTCCCCGCACAGCGGTGCACCCGGAGTGTTTCCAGGGATCATCCTGAGCCGAAATCAAATTGGAAGTGGGTGATCTGAAGCGTGAGAAAGGGACAAGTGGATAACGCGAGGATAGCGAGTGAGGAGTTCTTTTAGAATCAGCCTTGTGCGCAGCCGTCCCGGAGCGCTTCCCTTCCTATTTCTCTCTCTGCTCACCCAGCTCCGTGCTCCCGTACAAAGCAGCCCCTGTTTCGCTGGAGGTTTCCCAAACGCAACACTCGGAGCGCTGCTGCTGCTGCTGCTGCTGCTCGGCTTTCGCGTTCGGAAGGCAGCGAACGCACAAGGAAGAGCAGCGTCACACGCAGAGCTCCGCAGCCGCTCGGGGCCGGGAGCGGCATCTCCGGAACGCAGCGGGGTCAATGCGGGGCTGGAGGGAGGCTGATGGATGGGCACAGCCCAACCGCGCGGCGCCGAGCCGGGCATCCTCCGCTCCCCCCTCCCCAATCCTCCTCCCCCCAGAGCTGCGGCGGAGCTGCGTGCACCGCCCCGCGCCGGGCGGAGCCGAGCCGGGCCGAGCCGATCTGAGCCGAACCGGGCCGAGAGCGCTGCGGTGGTGCGAACGGGCGGTGCGGTTCGGCCTCCATCTCCTCCCCCCCCCGACCCCCCGGTGCGAGGCGGGGGCCGCCGCCATGCCCCCCGGAGACTGAGGCCCGCGGGCGCGGGGTGCCCGCAGCATGCGGAGGGTCCGGCGCTTGGTGCACCTGGTGCTGTTCTGCCCCATTTCCAAGGGCCTGCAGGTACCGCCCGGGGGGAGATCCGGGCCGGGGGGGGGCGGGATCTGGGATGGAGAGGGGAGATCCGGGCCGGGGGAGGCTCGGTGCTGCCCATCCCCGCATCCCGGCACAAAAGGATGCTTCGTAGCGCTGCGCCGGGTGCTGGGGATGGCGATGGGATGGGGACCGGGGATGGGCACCGGGACACGGTGACGGTGGACCGAGCATCCACGGTGGTTGCATAATGCGCAGCTCGCAGCACTGCCAGCATGCAGATGTGTGCATCTGTCCGTCCATCCGTCCGTCCATCCACTCCCTGTAGATACACAGCGGTGCAGCAGCATGGCTGACTGCCACCCTTTGCTTTTTCTTTTTCTTTTTTTTTTTCCTGTTCTTTTATTTTGCCTTTCCATCCTCAGCCCATGGGGCCAGGAAGGACTGCACGGCCTGGGGGGGCACTGAGGGGCTGGCACTGCTTGGGAGCTGAGGTCTGTGGCTCTGCTCTGTCACCCTCCAAGTCCAAGGGCCTGGGGAGCGGCTGCATGGGGTTGGGGTCTTGCAGGGAGGGCCAAGCTGGTGGCACTGGGGCAAGGGCACGTGGGAGTAGTGGCACTGTCCATATTGCCTTTGATGGCAGCTGTGGCCCCAAATCACTGCCGTGTCCCCTGGAGTCATCCTAAAAACAAACACAGGGTAACTAATGCCCTTTGGCAGTGGGAAGGGCACCCCTGTGTCCCGGAGGGGAGGGGGAAGTGCAGCATCAACCATGAATCCAAAATGTGCCCCAAACCCAATGGAACCTCACTGCGGTGCATCCCAAACCTCCACGCTCCTTTCCACCATTTTGATGGACAATGAAATGCACCGTACGCTGTGCCCAGGTTTTGGCCTTGACCTCACATCTGCTGAGGAACATGATGGATCCTTGGTCTGAATGAGCCCAAAGGGACATTTTAGCCACCCAAGACTTTGTCACCCCATGTTGGGAAAGAGATCCAGGAGCAGCAGTGGAACCTGACCTGTTGGTTCAGACCAGAGGTGCCTCTCCATCAGCACACTGCATGCTGTTGAGGACAGTGGTGGCTCCTTGTCCCCAGCCTGTGGGGGTTGCTGTGCTGTGAGGGTCTCACAATATATCTGCCTTCAGTGCTTTGAGCTGCCTTTGGGTCTGTAGGTACAACGCAGCCCTGTGGGAAAATCCAAACATCCTTTATTTTTACCCAGCCCTCGTGGCAGATTCTCTTGGAATGGATGTTAATTAGCAGTGGGATTGCTTGATGGGCACAGAGGGCAACCTGGGCCCATTCGTGCTTCAGTATTTCCAATTATGGTCCATCACCTATGTGAGAGGTGCAAGGAGGGTTAGGTGGGCAAGGGGGGCCACGATGGCACCAAACTTCTGCAGAGTGCTTTGCTGGGGAGTGGCTGTAATCTCTGCTTTTAGGGAATTTTAAGTGACCTACTTGCAGCAGGAGTTGCATAATAGGTGGATGGATGTACATAAAAAAGGCTGAAGGTTCCATCAGTGAGTTTGTTTGGAAAAGCCCTATCCTTGACAGCACCGATGGGCTGAGCACCACTGTGTTCACCCACTGCATTTTCCTTCCCTTGCAGAACCGCCTCCCAGGCATCAAGGTGAAATACCTGCTGGTGGTGTGGCTGGGCATCTTCGTGGGCAGCTGGGTGGCCTACATGCACTACTCATCCTACTCTGAGCTCTGCCGTGGCCACATCTGCCGGATGATAATCGTGAGTGATGGTGTGGGGAAAGGGTGAGCTGTGCCACTGCTGCGTATGCAGTGCTGGGGCTGTGTTGTGCTGGCTCCATCCCCAGCATCACGCTGAGCTCGCAGGCTGGGGAGGTGACCTTATCCTGGCAGGGCAATGGCAATCCCACGTAATGAGATGTCAGAGGGAAGCAGGCCAGGCATCAGCAGGTTAATGCCTATGAGCTGAAATTGTGATGTCAGGACCTGCAGGCAGGCAGCATTGTGCCAGCCCCCCTCCTAAAGCTGAGCAAAGGACAAAGGGGGGGCAGCCAGACTGCAGGTACAATTCTGTAAGTGCTGCTGTGCCCTACAGAAAGCTGCAGCCTGCAGAAAGGGCAGACCCTGCACAGGAGCCCAGCTGGGGATGGTGGCCAAGCAGAGCTCCCTAGGACTGCTGCAGGTCTGCCCAGCCTGGCAGGGAGCAGAATGGCGAGGTTCTGCCTGGAAACACTTCGTTCATCAATCCTTCTGCAGAGAATGGAGGCAAGAATTGCCATAACAACAGGAGCAATCATTTAATTTGATTTTCTGCATGACTCTGACCGTGGGGTCTCAAGTGCTAATTCCTGCTCTGAGCTTGGTGTTTAAGGTGCTGTGTCCAGCCACGGCCCATGTAAGCAGGTCTGAGGGTTAATTCTCATCCTCACTGAAAAAAAAAAAGAAAAAAAAAAAAAAGGCAGTAGATGCTGTGAATTTCTGCAGCGCCTGTTTCCAGCCTGAGGCTGTTGAGCCCGCGCTGCTGACTGCAGAGCTGCAGCCTCTCCCACCCGCGGATGCTTCCAGCTCACCGAGCGAGCCGCCCTGCCTGTGGACCAGAGCCATGGCCTGGACAGGGGCCAACCCATCTCACAGCATGGGCTGCTGCTCTGCTGAGATCCTCCTGTGCATCCTCACCATCACCCAGCTCCTGCTGGAGATGCTGCCTGTCGCTTGGCAGCAGCCTTGCCTCCCAACAGCCCGCGTGGCTTTGCAATCAGATGTGCTTCTTTTAAAGGGTGTTTTTCTTTTGTATGAGGCTTGCATGAAATCAGAGGAAACGGGCTCACCATGGATGCAATGGCATTCATGAAAAATTGCTCCTCTCTCTGCTTTCCCTCCCCAGTGCGACCAGTACAAGAAAGGAATCATTTCTGGCTCTACGTGCAAAGATCTGTGCGAGGAGCACAGCCTCCGCTTCCAGCACTGCCTCTCCTCCTCCCCCACCCAGCAGGTAGGTCTCTGGTCACTGGGGATGAGTGCAAGAGCTGAAAACTGGGACCTGGGAACTGTCCTTCTGCCCCCAACCACGCTGCTGCTCCTTGATTGACACCACTGCCAATGCTGGCCTTGCTCCTGCTCTCCTCCTCTCATTGCTCCCTTCTGCTTTGCTGCAGGTTTACAGCGGGCTCTGGAAGGAGAAGGAGGTGATCATCAAATGTGGCATTGAGGAGGCCCTGAAGGCAGACAGCAACCCAGACTCCATTCCCAGGAGGGATGTGGTTCTCTTTGACAAACCGACTCGAGGGACATCGATGGATGAGTTTAAAGAAATGCTCCTGAACTTCCTAAAGGTGAGTGCAGAGGGTCCATCTGGAGCCCGCTGCTCTCCCAGGCCACGCACTCACAGCTCTTTGCTTCTCCAGATGAGTTTCACAACACTGAGCCCAACCACAGGGAGCTGAAGGAGTCTGACACCATTTTTCTTGCTTTTTTGCAGTCCAACCTCGGAGATCAGACCTCTCTTGCAGCCTTGGTGAGCCAAATCATCACCATGGCAGATGTGAACCGGGATGGGAAAGTGTCTTTAGCAGAGGCCAAATCCATCTGGGCGCTACTTCAGCTCAATGAGTTTCTTCTTATGCTCTCCTTGCACGAGAAGGAACACACCTCCAAGCTGCTCGGGTACTGCGGGGATCTCTACATCACAGAAAAGATCCCTCACAACTCCCTCTATGGAGCAGACATCCCAGCCTTCCTGCAGTCGCTGCTGCCTGCTGCTGTCCACCAGGTCATCCACCAGTGGTTTGCACCAGCCTGGCCCCGGCGGGCCAAGATCACCATTGGGCTGCTGGAGTTTGTGGAGGAGATATTCCACGGGACCTATGGGAACTTCTACATCTGTGAAACCAGCTTTAGGAACGTGGGCTACAATGACAAATACGACTTCAAAATGGTCAACCTGAGGAAGGTGGCAACGGAGATGACAATCAGAGGGTTTCTCAAGGGACGTCACTGTGAGCAGAACGTGGACTGCACCTATGGGAAGGACTGCATGGCCACCTGCGACAAGCTCATGAAGCAGTGCAAAAGTGACATGGTTCAGCCCAACCTGGCCAAGGTCTGCAGGCTGCTGCAGGACTACCTGCTGTACGGGGCACCGCCTGACCTGAAAGAGGAGCTGCAGAAGCAGCTGCGAACTTGCATGACCCTCAGCGGCCTGGCCAGCCAGATGGAAGTGCACCACTCCCTCGTGCTCAACAACCTCAAGACCTTGCTCTGGAAGAAGATTTCCAACACCAAATATTCCTAATGGGGCCCAGGGCTTACAATCTGAAATCCCCAAGTTCAGCCAAGGCTCAAAGGTCTGCTTCTCCATCCTCTCCCCTGCAGGAAAAATACACCCTATCCAGGGAGTTCAGCATAGCTGCAGCACCTCTGCTTTCATGAAAAGCCAAACATCTTGACTTCCACCACCTAGCAGGATCATTGGTAGTCTGCATCAACAGCTGTGAAGCTGGGCTGAACAAGTCTGGGGGAAGGAGGAGGAAAGAGAAGGAAGCAGAGCCCAGTTGGATGCATCTGTTTCTTGATTAACAGGAAAGCAGTGCAGAAAGATGAGAATGAATCATTCATGCTGTACTTGTCACATCTTATTTTGATGAACGTCTCCGATGTAAATAAAGAGCTTTTATGTGAATCACACCACTACATCAATAGCAAAACAACAGCCTTTTAAGTACCAGCATTCTTGTGATCTAAAAAGGAGAAAAAGGTAGATTTTCAATTCAGAAATCCCCCCTTAAGTACCTGAATCATCTACCATGAGATCTAGCCACTACCTAGGAAGTGGATAACCTAGGAAGTGGATAAGCTGTCTTTTCTACAGCAGAGAACCCTGGCAATTGTTTCACTGCTTTTTTAAGTGCCTGACCCATGACAGCAATGTGATGGCTTTTGTGAGGATCTCCTCCCAGCTGCTTCTGCCTGTAGTGTGAAACTGCCTGCCAGGAAGTACACAGGCCATTCCCCCTCATGTGCCAAGTCTGGAAGCACATCAGGCAAGAAGAGCTTAAAGGAAACCTAAGGGCTACAACTGATGGGTTCTGACCAGCTACCATGTATTCTCCACATTACTTCCCTCAGTATTCAATCACACATGCAAGAATAAGCCAACCTTTCAGTTTAATTCTCTAAGCTGGGTTACCACTGCAGAGGTTAAAGATTAATACCAAAATAATCCACTGCTTCTCCCATTATCAAAATGAATTTCCAGAGAACCTTTCAGCAGGTATCATTTGCTTGGCTGTGTAAATACTGCAGCTCTCTACCTACAGTCTGTTTCCTTTAAATGTTCAGTTGCAGCAATCTTTCAGAACTTCAGGTAGAGAAGGAACAGTTTATGTAAATGACCTCAAGCATGCTCTGTTCCCAGCACAATAACATCCCTGCTGGCAGAGCATATGCTGGTGCTGCTGCCAACAATTGCTTAGTGAAGTGGAGCATGTATCTGAAGTACAATCACTGACGGAAAAGAAATACATTTAACAGTATATATGGTCTGTGAAGGTAATCTGCAGTGTCATAGCTGCAAATTTATGGGCCCTCTGGAGGATAAATATCAGCATTTCCTTCTATTAGTTCTATAGGATCATCATTACCTCTCACTGTTATTTATGAAGGATATGTTTCAGTGTCAACAGTGCTCTAAATCTAGCAGGCAGCTAGCACAGCTTGCTCCCTGCAGACAAGTCAGCTCCACAGCATCATTTATCCGTGGTAAGGCTGAACATTTGTAAGTTTCCTGTGTTTGAAAGGTTGCAAGTTACTCAGCCTGTTGGAGCCAGGCACCCATAATGCAGTAATAATACTGCAGAGTCTCAGGACTCCACCTCCAGGCACGGTGCTGCTAAGTGCAGGTACAGATCCCTGTGCCAGCATGGAAGGGCTGTTTGTAGGGAGGGAAGGCAAGGACTGGAGTTCTTTCAGGCTTCACATAGCTACATCCAGCTCCTCGTCTGTTGTCCTGTACTCCCATGGCAGCTAGATCCACTGACAAGATCATTTTCTGCTGCTATGAGAAAAAGAAACCTAACAACCATACCAAATCTCATTTTCAAGAAAGCCATTTTTCACCTTTCCATCTATTTGAAACCTGAACGTAAACTCTGCTCTGACAAATGGCACTCCCTACTGCACTTAACCCCCACTGGTCCCTTCCCCAAAAACTATTACATAAAGCAGCAGGTAAGCAGCTAGAGAGATTGACAAAAACAAGTACTTTTTTTTCCTTACCCACATCACCATAAGTACCATCTTTAGGCATTTACAATGTGGAATTGTTCAGGAGAAGACAGTCCATGTATTGAAGAGAACTAGCTAAGACACTTTATTCAAATAAAGACTTTTGACAAAACCCATAATGTTACCATGTTATTTGCACACCCCATTAACAACACTGGACAGATGCTTGAGATTCAGACTTACCTATGACTCACACATGCCAAGAGCACCAAGTTTCGTTCATCACTAACACAATGCACAAGTGTTTTCAAACAAGTGATTATGGTTTACGAGCTACAGTACAATATGGAAGAGAAATGACTCAAGGCAAAGCTATTTTACACTCATAACGCCTCCTCCCAACTTTCCACATTAGCTGGAAAAGGAGCAAAAGCCAGAATGCTGAAAGACTGACAACCCAACACGAACAGATGCTGCTGTTTTAGCAATGTAAAAGATTTTTAAGTGCCAGAAGGGGAGTGAGGTAGGAAGCAAGCTTCCACATTTCATTGTTTAAGGTCAAAAAAGAATCACAATTCTCACATCCACAGACAAAAACATCCCAGATCCTAGGATGTTTAAAAAACATTACTATTTCAGACCTGCAGGTAGCATAGTGTTTTTTTTAAACCTTCTTAGGCACATGGTAAACGTGGTCAAAAACAAGAGCTTCAGAACATGTGCTGTTTTCACACCCAAGCTGAGATTACTTGTAGAAAGAAAAGATCACATGCACTCTCATTGGCTGCAGCTTGCTTGAGTCCATGTATGAATAAGATGGAAATAAGATGGAAGTTCTCAGCATCTTGAAATGTAGAAATGATAAACCATTTCTTTTCCTGTAGCCAGACTTGCTAGAAATTCTAGAACTCAAGCATGACCTGAAAATAAAAGACACCCAGGATGTTAGACAACACTAGTAAAAGTTAGCAATAATGTCAACACTGAGAATTAACTCATACCATGGAGACTCCTGCTATTTCACTATTCTACAGTACTCAAGCTAAGAAACCATCCTTCAGCCCAGAACAACCACATGAAGCCTGCAATTTATTCACTGAAATCACTGCAAGACAATGGAAATTGAGAGCCTGAAAACCTGTGCAGATCAGATCTAAAACACTGGCAGAAAGCACACAGCAAATCTCTATATAAGGCCTTTTTTGGGAAAACCAGAAATCTACTCATCAGACTGTGCTGCTGTGTGAATTTAGGAGGGACGATTTAACAGCACAATAACTGGAGCCCGCTCTTGGTTACTCTTCTACTCTCAGGTCCCCTAAATATCAAAGGTGAGCTTGTCAGTCAGTGAAGAATCAAGCTATTAACAGTGCAAAGGGAGAAAAGCTGTGTTCAAAGCCACAATAAAGTAGTTCTAGTCGCTGATGGGCTAAGTTAACTTGCAGAAGATTTTTTTCCCAAAGCCACTTTAGTACAAAATATTTGTATTTTCCACAGTTGATAGGTAATTCTTTCAGTAAGGAAATATTCATAGCCTGGGCCTGCTGCTCAGTCATAGGAATATAGTTAGTAGCAAATGGCACAGGGAAATTTTAATATATGCTATGCCTTACACAGTAAAGGTCTTAAAGGGAGCCTCATCAGGCACTCAGCATCCCCTACACGGCCTTTGATGCGAGTGCTGATGAAAAAACACAACTCATATTTCAGGGTTAAAAGAAGTCAGGAAACTTAAATGGAAGAGTTGCATCAGTGCATGCCTCTACGCATACCCATATTCCCAACAACCTTATTAGCATTCTTTTCCACCACCACTACTGGAAGGCAGTTGCCTTTTCCCAATTAAATGGCTCATTTTGCAGCCAGCAGCCACCCGCTCAGCTAATGACACCTCTGGCCCTCGTAATGCCCATTTAATGATGACATTTTCCAACATTTAGCACTGCCAGATTTTGTAAAGCTATTAGTCACTGCAAAGCCTCGCAGTTTCACAATGCTGTGCGTAGTGAGGGCTTCTCACTTGCTTTAGAAACACCATCAGCACAGCAGATGCTCCCACAGACCACATCAACCAAGAAATGACAGTGATGCATTAAACCAGTGCAGCACCTTGGTACCTGAGCCACCCAGTGGCTTGCTGCCCTAGAGGTCACACTTCCTTGTCAGCATGCTAGCACAAACACAGCAAAACCAAGTTAAAAATGGTGTTCAACTGCATTTTCATATTTTGTCTACTGTGTTAGAGCTCAACATCACAAGCAAGGAAGCTACAACTTGTCATGAAAAGCAGGACAAAGCACTCCTACATTTACTGAAAGTCAGTTGAATTGATCTTAATTCCTGAGTATGTCTACAACACCACCTCACCAGTCCATAAACTTGTGACATTTTTCCAGCAGCATTCTGTGTTAGACCATTTTGATAACACACTGATATGCTCTCAAGAGCCATAATACCTACCTTTAACATCTGCAGGAAATTGCACAACTCAGACTCGTCCTCACATGTAACCACATGAAGAAAAAGTATCTTCAATTTTTCCTTCTAAAAGCAAGCATAGTTTTAAAGACATTTCAGAAGATGCTGACTGCACTTTCTTCTCACCCTCAGCACCCTTGGAAATCAAGAAGTTGCTGACAGCATTTAACAAATCTTAGCAGAAGAAAGCAATTTTCTCCATATGCTGCATCACACCCAGCTGCTTCCAGACCATGCTAGCATTGTCCACACTGCACAATTTAAGGTTAACACTACAGGAAAAAAAGAGAAAACCAGAAACATTTGTCAGGCTGCTGGTCATTCCCGAGTGCTCACGGGTTTCAGAGCATTAGCACAGACACAGCCTGTTCCTTTCTGCCACCTAATGACACAAACATGGCACTACAGCCACATCTGCAACACGACTGGGGCAGGGATCTATGCAATGCATGAGCTTCTACCCACTGCTGCTCACCTCAGGTTTTTGGGACCTCTTGAGTTTGCTACATCATCTCTGAAACAGAGCAGACAACACACACAACATTGATGGTATCTATTTAGATATGCTCTAAAGCTGGTTATACATTTTCTTTTTTAATGATGCTAAGAAATTGAAAGGTCCTAAAGAAGAGCAATTCTAGAGAAATAAATGCACATTACAGGCATATTTTTTACTTTCAGGCAGGAATAGCACCGGGGCTGCCAGCATACAACTCCCAGGACTCAGACATCCATAACAGCTTTTTATTCTTCTACACACCGATTTCATACTTAAGAGCAATTAAAAAAACAACACAACAAACGTATACCTAAACAATGTCAGGCTATCAATCACTCTGAGTGCTCACCAGTTTCAGAGCAAACGAGCGTAGAACACAGCCTGTCCATCTCTGCCACCTAATGACACAAAGATGTCACAGCAGCCACCTTTGCAACGCCTGTGGCAGGAAGCAAATTAATAAAGAACAGAAACAAACCCACGAAGACTGGAGATGCTCTGTGCTAAGCATTGCTTACCTTCGGTTTTTCAACGTGGAAAATGCTTTTCATCCCATCCTTTGTCTTCTGCCAGCAAGAGCATAAATAAGAAGAGAACGTGATTAATAAAGGATGTCGAACCCGCTAAATAACCCCTCCCTGAACACTTAACACCAGTTCAGAAAACACAAAGATTAAAAGAAACGAGCAAAACCGCCCTTTTCTTCAACAGATTGCTTTCAGTTTCTCCATCTTTCGGCCGTACAAGGCCGCAGCCCTGTTCTCACCCCTCCCCACGGCAGCGCACCCCGCCGCCGTCCGTTCCCAGCGCCCCACACGGCGCCGGGCTGCCGGTGCGCGGCCACGTGGCGGAGCGGGCAGCCGACCGGCCCGCCTGGGGCCCGTTAACCGCGGCTGGACACGCGGGTCCGAGGCCCTCGCTTTCCCTCGGTGAGCCCACGCGGTTACAGCTCGCCACTCACGCTTTTCTCATCCTCCTCCTCCCGCTCACAGCCCTGCAGCCCGCGGCCTGACGGGCCCGCCTCCCCTCGCTCAGCCTCGGATAACGAACGGCAGCGGCGCAGCCCGGAGCCGAGGCCCGACTGCAGCGCGGAGCCCGCGCCTGAGAGAGCGAACGGCGGCCAACGAGGCACAGCTTCGCCTGAAGGCGCCGCCGCGGCCCGAAGGGAGCAGCGGAGCTGCCGGGCAGGCAGCGAAACCCTCCATCGGCTCCTCACAACGCGCAGCCCCGCACCCGCCGACCGCCGCGCCGAAAGACCGCACCGCCCCCCGACTTCCGCTTATATAGGGCGGGCGGCGGAAGCGCCGCGGAGACAATCCGCACTGAGCGTCTGCTCCCTCGAGCGCCCCCTGCTGAGCGGGAGGACCGCGTGGCGGGGCCACTGCCTGCATAGAGAGACGAGGAGCCAAGGATACGGGCCGAAGATCAGCAGGCCTGAGCGCAGCGCTGCAGGGCTGCCTGAGCGCTCTCATATCGGCACGTGGAGAGTTAAGGGCTGGACTGCTCTTTTCCTGGCAATTCCCTGCAGTTTCTGGGCACCCATGGGTGGCACTGCATGGTGCCCACGATGCCCTGAGATCCCCAGGCTGGGAATGGCCACCAAACCTTTGTCCCCTCACCCCGTGAGCATGAATTTTTTGCCAGAAATTTCCCCACCTCCCCATGTAACAGAGAAAGAAAAAGGAGGCCGAAAGACCCCTTTATTTATGGCGTGTGATACAAATGGCTTTGCAGCATTTCACAACAGGAGGGTCGCGGGACAGAAGTGCTCCTCATAATAAAACAGGACAGAGCTGGCACTGGCCTTGCTCCCTCTCCCCTTGGGTTAATTGCTCTGGGCAAATTATTTTTGAGCTGGAAATGTCCTGGTGTGGCAAGCAGCCCAGCTCTGCTGAAAGCCAGGCTGTGTAATGCCATGCGTGCAGCACTGTAGAAGTGGAGCAGGATGCCCACCTCCAGCACGGAGATGAGTCCCACGGTCAGGCCTGGCCTTCAGCCAGCACGGGGCGGCTCGTATCGCGCTTCTCTCGGCTCTGCAGATCCTGGAAGACCTCAATCTGCTTCCTCTTGTTCTTGGCACGGATGATGGTCATCTTGAAGAGCTTGCAGTAGAGCTCCATGGAGGTGGGGCTGTCATCATTGCCAGGGATGGGGTAGGTGATGAGGCACGGGTTGCAGTTTGTGTCCACCACCCCCACCGTGGGGATATTCATCTTGGCAGCATCCCGGATGGCCACGTGGGGCTCAAAAACATTGTTGAGGCTGCTGAGGAAGATAAGGAGGTCGGGCAGGCGGATGCCGGGACCGAATTGGATGTGGGCATTAGTGAGCAGGCCGCCCTGCCAGTAGCGTGTATGGGCGTACTCCCCACACTCCCGTGCTGTGCTCTCAACCAGGTGGCAGAACTGCCGGTTGCGGCTGACGAAGAGGATGATGCCTTTGCGGTAGGCGATGTGGGCAGTGAAGTTGAGGGCCAGCTGGAGATGCTGCATCGTCTGATCCAAATCAATGATGTCCTGGTCCAGGCGGCAACCAAAGATGTAGGGCTCCATGAACCTGCAGGGATGGAGGGTGGGTGACATGCAGGGCTACAGGCATCAAGGAGAGGTTTCCAGTCCTAAAGAAACCTTCCCACAGCCCAACTGCCTGCTGGTACCAGAGGGTCGTTCGAGTTGACCCCTAAAAGCTATCTGATCCCACTCCCTGCAGTGAACAGGGACACCCGCAGCTTCACCAGGTGCTCACAGCCCCTCCAGCCTGACCTTGTGTGTCTGCAGGGATGGGGCACAACCTCCTCACTGGGCAACCTGTGCCAGTTCTTCACTGCTGTTATAGTAAAAAAAACCCCACCCTTTATCCTTACGCCCAGTCTAAGCCTCCTCAAACTAAAAGATTTAGTTTGAAACCACCTCCCCTTGTCCTATCACAACAGACTCTGCTAAGGCAGTCCCAGCCCAGGTTTGGTGCTGCCTCCAAAGGCTCGCGTGCCCTATAGAAACGCTCCTGTTGCGAACAAGTGCTGGATCACAAAACAGGCTCACTCACTGATGCCGACATCCCTTCTTGTGCCCCAGATGCACTCGGGCGTCGAACAGATCCTTTAGGGAGAAGAGCTCCTTCACGTTGAAGAAATCGGGGTGGCGAAGCGGTTCGGACAGCAGCTTGTCCTCCGGGTCTGGGGGGGGGAGAGAAGAGAAAAAGCGCTGCAACCCAACGTGCCGGCAGGGCCGGGCTGGAGGGGAAGAAGGGCCGTGCCGTGCCGTGCCGTGCTGCGCTCACCGCGGGGCCGCGCCGCTGCCGCCGTCAGTGCCGCCGGGGCGGGGATGCCGCTGTAGAACCGCGGTGCTGCTGCGGAGAGAGAAACACATCGGTCACCGGGCGGGACGGGCACGGCTGTGCGCGGCTCGGCACGGCCCTACCCGCTCACCCGCCCTTAAGATCCGCGGCACCGCCATCTCCGTGCCCGAGGAAGAGGAAGAGGAGCGGAACCTTCCGCTTCCCCCGCTCCCGCTGCCTGGCAACGAACGCTGCCGCGCGTCCCGTCCGGCCCCGCATGGCACAGCCGCAGCCCGCGGAGGGTCCCGCGCCCCGCATCGGCACGTGGGTGAGCGCCACGCTGCCCCGCCGCTTCCTGCAGCTCCCCTGCTTCCGTGGCTACGGGTGAGCCCCTATAGGTCCCCCTCCCCGCCCCCCAGCCCCTCTGCCCCGTGCCCGGCTTGATGCTTTGTGTGCCCGCAGGCAGCCGGAGCCGCACCCGCTCTACCGGACGAGCAACCAGGAGTACGGCCGCAGGGCGCCCACGGTGTACGAAGTGCCGGTAGGTGCGAGCCCGGAGCCTGGGCAGGATATGGTGGGTTGGGGGTCTCCCCGGGCTGGCGGGGATCTGCCTTCCTCCCAGGGCACGGTGAACTTTTCTCCTTCCCAACGGCTACCAGGGTGGGAGATTTTGACAACCCCACCTCAGACCCAGCGGCTCTGAACCACCACAGTTCCTTGGTTTTAGTCTGCCCCATAACAACGAGGGGCGTTGTGATGAAGTGCCCTTAGAACGCTGCCCAAGCTCCCGCAGGTGCTGTTGGTGCTGAACACATCTTTTCTCACTTCTCTCTCCCTTTGCCTTGCAGAACTCCTACCACGTCACCTCGCACGCTTTCTCGGACGCCCTGGCACAGCGTGGCATGTACAGGAACGACGGGCTCAACACCTCGCTGGAGAAGAGCCGTGTCACCGGCCCCGCCAACTTCATCACCCCCTACGACACCCTCAACTTCCACCCCAGCTACAAAGTCGGTGGGCCCTCGCACTGTTAGAGCTATGAGACCACTTCAGTTTATTGCTGGCTGCTTAGTTCGAAAAATAACTCCCTCCCCCCCTAAAAAGTCAGGGAAACGACAGCACCGACCAAAACCCGCTGCTAAGCCTCATGGTGAAGCACCACGTACTTCAGGTTTGGTTACAGCTGTGCCTGCTGCCACCAGGCTGCAGGTTCCCTTTCCTGAAAGCAGTGGCTCGTCACAGGCTGTGAGCTGGGAATTCAGCGTGTAGGCAAGCTGTAGCCTTGAGGGTGTCCTAAACTTACAGTACTGTTTCAGAGCTGTTGTCTTAATAAAGAAACACATGCAGGAATCCACAGCACTTAAGTGATCCTGAAAATGATCTCTGAGGGGAATGAAATGGCACAGATTGTCAAAGAGAGCTCACATGGCACAACGAGAAGCAGCAGGATAACACACAAGTTCACGCAGTTAAACAGTTAAGTTGGAATTTAATGCAAACTTTTCCTCCTGAACACAGTAAAGAAAAAAATCTTTCAGCTTGGTCTACAGTGTGACAAAAAGCTACATTAACAGGTTAAAGGCAGCAGTACGTTTCTAGAAACAACCCCCCAACTTCAAACTCCAGGGTGTGTTTTTTTAATAGGGCTCCCAACTAGTCGAGGCCTCATTTAGCTTTGGAGGAAGAACAGATTACTCTGTTTCATTAAAGACACTGAACATCTGAAGTCCAAAACTGAACAGCATGCCATCAGGCCTGCGTTTTGTGGTGAGTTTTGGTTTTAAACATTTTAAACATTCGAAGCCCAGTGTAATGCTCCCGGGCCAAACACAACTTCAAGCAAGCCTAACAAACACTTCAAGCCCTGCACTGCAATTCATTTAGTTATCTCAAAGGCAAAAACAGCCAAAAACACACCAACACATTTGAGCAAGTAAATACTGGGCACAGAAACGAGCCTGGAAAGTTAACTTTTTAAATATTCAACGCATTAAAATAGATAAGCAAAACTTCCCTCACTCGCTGCTATTCCTCCGTTAGACTCTAGATAATGCTTTGAGTTTCTCTTCTCTTTCTTCTCCTGAAATGAGAAGTAACATTAAGGGCAGAATTAAAGCAAACACTTGTGACAGTTTTACAAATACTTCCATCCACAGATTTTTCTGCAGGTGGAATAATTTAGGGATGGAGCTCTTAGAAATATAAACTTAGTGGGTTCTGTCACCTATTTTCCATCTCTTTCCATACTTGATTTAAAACCACCCACGTCCTTTCTTCCATGCCTTAATTATTCCCCTTTTTGTTTAATTCCTGAGCTGAAACCAGTTTGTCTGAAGTTTTGCACACTGTGCAACTTACAGCACCCTCACGTAACTTGCATCCTATAATACACTGGGGTAATGTTGGCTGAGAAGGGAGCGATGTGTGAGCTCTGGCTGCAGCCAGCCCCAAGCACAGACATTAGCAAAGGAAATGGTGGCAGAGATGGAGCGTTTCTTCCTTTTATATAAAGCAGTCACAGGTTGAAACAGATTCCTAAAATAGCAGCAAAGAACTGCCTATAAAAAATGAAGGCAGTCCTCCTGGGCCCCCGAGGATCCCTGAAAATCGACTTCCCTGAAGCACAAAAGACCAGAATTGCTGTCATAAAAATAAAACAGTGTACCCAATCATGTTTTGTTGTTGTTGTTGTTTGTTTTTAATTAAAAAACAAAGCCAGCTCATAAAAAAAAAAAGGCAATTTCTTCACTTCCTTGAGTAGACCTGAGTTCATGGCTCTGTCCTTGTACGTACTGCCAAAGCTGTGCCATCCAATTAATTCCCTGTGAAGGCTGAAGTAAGGAGGGCACTCAACCAGTGCCTTTTTGGCCACCACTGGAGAAGCCAAAACAGGGTAGGCTGGCTGATAGGAGATTCTTCTTCTCTTCTTGCTATTAAGAACATCCCCCTAAATGGCCACATCATGTAAGACCTGCGTTCTGTCTCATTCACAAGGACATCACACACTGCTGTCCCAGGGGACGACGGCCTCAGGTTGCTGGTGGCTGAGAGAACAGGATGAAAGGTGCAGGAGCAGCAGAGGAGCTGTAGCCCTGCTCCCAGGTCCGGGCAATGCAAACTGGATTGACTCTGAAGGAGACATCCTCCACTCACAGGTGATCCTGACATGGATTAATTGCATCTCTGCACTACAGACAGGAGGGAAAAGCTGTAACACAACACACTGCTCACCAGTGACGGAGACACAAACCACAGGAGCACTCTGGTTTCATGGTCCACAGTCAGAACCCCATTTATTAAACATTATAAATGTATCAATGTACACCATTTCCTATATACAAATCAAGTTTTATCAATTTTCTTTTTAAAAAAGTGCTGCTTGAAATTAGCTTGTATTTAAAGCACAAGGTAATCAGAATTGCATCTTCACTGGAAGTGAATTCAGTTCACAAGTAGTACTGAGAACACAGACACACCGACAGGGGCACAAAACACCTCGTAAATCTTAAGGTTGGATTAGTGAAAAACGTCGAAAAACATTCAGCTTATTTCATACAAATGGTACACAGTGCTTCCACCATCCCTACTAAGTATGGTTTAATCCTTTGAAAGCAAGGTACTCTGAAAAATTCTATTTTAAAATACAGCCTATTCACCTATTCCAAACAAAATGCCCAAATCCTGCAGCTGAACCAAGGCAGACACAAAGACATGCCTGTGCAAACTTCCTGCAGGCACGAGCTAAGTAAAAAACCACTTTTCCAAGGTATCCTACCACAAAAATGAAGTGAGCCAGCAGTGAACTCCCCCACCGACCAGCCCAAGGACTACAAAAAGGTGGCCTGACGATAAGAAATGCCAAGTGACCACTCGAAGTATGTTTAAAATGCAACTGCACGACAGTATAAACACACAAAGGATGTCTTCTATTTCTCTACGTGCCACGGTTACTTTCTCTACTCTATGCTACGCTGCAGTTTGCCAGTATTCTGCAAATGCAATCACATCTGGAGATACTAAGTGATACTGGATCCATTCTTGACTGCTTTCTCTCCGTTTCTGAACGTTAAGGCCAGCCTTCAGGAAGACTGCTGAAGTGATTAAGAAAGGAGGTGAGCTGAAAAGTCTGGCTGAGAAGTTCAGTAGAAGACTGAATAGAGATAGTCTCAAATCGATTCACAGGACGAGATGCAGGAACAAACTGCTCAGAGGACTTCATTACACACAAAGGAAAATGAAAGAACCAGTCAACAGCTTCAATTCACACCTTTTGGATTTTTCAGTGGAACTGGTGTGGAACTTTTGTTGCGATATAAAGGCATTCCTCGAATGCCACTTAACAGTCAGTTCAAATAAAAAAAGACAGTAGTGAAAAATTGCTTTATTCTGGGTGCTGGAAAAAGAGAGAAAACTCTCTAAGTATGAAAGAACAGTGCTGAAAATATCCGTGGCGTTTCTCTTAGGGACTTCCTACAGCAAATCTAGCTTTGCTCTATTGCACAAAAATTGTAAATGTAAGTAGAAGTTCACAGAAATGTAACATCTTAGAAACCACTTCTGAAAAAGAAAAGTAAGGGCACTCAGTTGAAGAAAGTTCATTTGGAAAAATCCAAACACGTTGCAGGGTAACTGCAGGGCATCAGAATTAGACTCAAGAGTAAGGAGGAAATTGTTTCAGCCTTGCAGGCCCAGCAACACCCAAGTCTAGTGACATCCACAGAAGTCATGTCTGAACAGACAATCCTTCACTTCATTCCAATTGCAATTGTGCTTTGAATCATCTGCTAGCAGAAGGTTTCCAGCATTCCAAAGGTGCTTTCTGTGGCCACTGTGGTCTCTGTAGAGGGACGAGCAGACAGACTGACCCTCTTTGCTTGCCTGGATTTGCATTTGGATCTTCATGGCCAGATCTCTGCACCTGCAGCTGCACCAACTCTGCTGGAGTTCTGCTTGGTGAGTTTACCCCGCAGTCCCTGGGAACACAGGATTGTCCTAAGGCAGCTCGAGTGTAAACACGTGGCAGGCAGTGAGCTTCCAAAGCACTGCGCTATCAGTAAATGCTGTGTTTGCCCAGGATCTCCTCACAGACTGACAAACAGGTTTTTCCTTTTAACATGATTAGAGGCCTCATAATTTAAAGCATGATTAGGCGGTATCTCCTTATCTATAATAGCTACAGCATCCTGTAGTAATGTAAGCACTAAAAATCATTATAAAAAATATCTCCTTAGAACACTTTAAATAATTTACAAAATTCTACAAAATCTAAGTACGTTTATCCATGATATCCCTGTTATATAGAAGCATTTTTCACCTTAGTGTAAATGTGATATGCGTTCATCACCTTCTCCCACCGTCTCTCACGTCTTACCAAAGTAATTACAATGATGGTTATTTTCTAAAAAGCCTGTTACTGTGGGAGGAAAGATAAAAAGTGTACTTACTTATTTGATACCTTTAATTTCATGAGGGAATCTGGGCTGTCCCCTGCTGGTGTGTCAGTACATTTTGCACAGTCCTTCTCTAAAACTTGGTCCGGTTCACAATCAATTTCCCTATTCTGCAGGACAGGCACTTTGCCTTCCCAATTGGAGCTGGATACCTGAATTTCTGCCTGTCTGTCACTGTCCTGGCAGGTAATGCTTTCCTTCTCCACGCACATGTGCACAACGTTACCTGCACATGCTTCTCCACTAGCTTCACCTGCTGTTACTGCTGTCACATTTAGCTCCTGCAGTGCACAACCTACACGTGAATCTTGCCTGTTGTCCTGCTGGTTATTCTTTCCATGACCACGTACGTGTGTGCTCTGCTGGCATGTTTCTTTGCTAGCTTTATCTGCTTCTACCACTGCCATACTGTGCTGTAGGAGTGGGGGACTTACATTTGAATCTGCCCAGCTGTCTTTGTGGCTATCTCCTTCCTCAGTCCCCATCTGTACGTTCTCAGCTTTGTTTGTGCCTCTGCAAACCTTATCTACTTGTCCTGCTGCCACACTCTGCTCCTGTGAGGAGAGATTCAGATGTGAATCCATCCAGTCTCCTGCAGCAGCAGCCTTTTTGCAGCCCTCTGCTTCTTTGATATACAAAGGAGCAGCATCTGGTCTTTCACAGGTTTCTGCTACATGGGGACCTGACACTTCCACAGTGAGCTTCTGAGGAGAGTTGGATTCTTTTATTGCTGTCTTATTCTCCCCACTACATTCACCTTTTGGCAGTGGGGCTCCTTTTTCCCGTGTAAGTACATCAGTATCCTGGGAAGCTACCTCTGTTCCTAATGCGCTGCTCTGGCTGAGCAAATGCTCTGATTTCTGCTTTTTGTTTAAAAGCATGGATTTCTTCCTCTCCCGAGCACGTTTC